AATTCTCTTTTGTCTCTTTGTTCTATGGTCTTTGGCCTTCTTTTTGGCCCTCTTTCCACTGTCCCCTGCCCTGCCCTTTTTAAGGGCAGGCTCAAGCGACGGGATAACATTTGTTGAAATTGGACCGAGGTAAACGCATTTCCGCCAAAGCTGCTAAACCACTGTTCACGTATGTACGGGCCGTCTTGATGGCCTGCCACCTGCCATAGACTAGGAGTCTGTCCAGAGAACCCCAACGCTGAAAACACCAGGTAGCCCCCCTCTTCGAAGGGAGTAGGGTCTAAAACCTAAGTCGGCAAACCCCAGTGCTTCGGTAGTGGTGTTAAACATTTTTCGCCATTGACTAGGCGAAGGGCAGAGTTCTCGACGAGCGGACGAGTCACGGGTCCAGGCAAAAAGCCAACGTAGGGGCTCTTCAACTGTAAGCGACACACTCTCTGACGCTCCTTGCCTCTTTCCACCTTTGGTGAGGCCTAAACTAATGACGGCTGGGCCTTGCGCTGTATGAATACTCACATCAGAAGACTTCAAACTCAGAATCTCTCCCGTACGGAGAGTCCCGTAGAACCCTACGAGGAGGGAAACGGCGAACAGGTATTCTTTGTGCGCAAGTGCATGTCCAACCAGCATGTGAAGAGCCTCTTAAATTCTGGAAGGGGCGGAGCCCGGTTCGGGATCTCGTTCATGCTCCATGCCTTTAACAGCCTCCATGTGCCTGGCAGGTGACCTTTGACCTGTGGCTGAGCGTCCTGCAAAGCTGCAACGGTGTCGCTAGCTAGTGCGCGTCCATGGCCTTCGCTCCATAAATGCTCAATGTATTGTTGTAAGAGGACGTCTAAACTAACCAGAGTGTGCTGTGGGGCCCTCACGCTGTTCTTCACGGAGAAAGGCCCAGAAGCCTTCCAGGGCTTGGTTGTAACGTTCACGCGTCCGAGGTTGAACCGTGAGAGACTGCAGGCTTCCTAATGCTGCTCGCTGCCTTTTACGCTCTTCTCTACTACCTCCTTCAATCATGACCTTTCCTACTTTACCCATCGCTTCCGAACGGGGCGCCGGCTGGGGGCATCAGCCGGGTTCTGGGAAGTATGCACATATGCCCAATGGGCTTGATTTCCAGAGGCGAGAAGAAGAGCGTTTATTTTCATCAAGGTCCGTCGTAACTTTCGGCTACTTGAGCAGCCTCGAGCTAGGCAACGCAAGCACACCAGAGAATCAACGAGATGCACAAACCTGCTTTGTAGCCATCCTTTCTTTCCTGTGCGCCAGCGCAAGGTGGTGTACACAGCTCGTAGCTCCAGACTATTGATACGTTCCTGTTGTCCATTCCATCGCCAACCGCAAATGGTTCGCCAGCGCCAAAGGTTGGCAGGAATACTCGCCCGAAGGCGGTGATACCTGACAGGAGAATGTCTTCTCCCTTGAGGCTTGCCATACCAGCCAGCTTCTGCGCCAGCCCTGTTTCGTCTCCTTGAACGGGGGCTCGACGCGGGGCACGCATGAAAGGTCGAAGTAGAAAGCACTGTAACCCTCTTCCCCCGCCAGGAGAGCACTGCTCCACAACTTGGCTGAGGCTCAGGAAAGGCCCAAGCCCCAAGACTCCTGACAACTGATTCAGCAACCAGGCAACCACGAAGACGTTCCAGCTATTTCCAATCAAGGTCAAGCGTTCATCTTGCCAAGCTTGTGTCTTCTGTTCACCCTTGGGGTAGCAAGCCGTAGAGTAACCCTTTGGAAAACCCATCAACACCTCCCTCTCTTCACAAGTGAGGAGGCGAGTGTTCTGGTGCTTGTCCTTGACACGGAATTTGTGCTGGTACTGATAGGGCGGAAACCGATGCAGGTCACTCGCCCAATCCTGTAGTTCCTCTTCCGTGCACTGTGACAAACCTGCTGGCTTGCGCCCTGGTTGCGTCCTTCATCGTGACGTAGTGAAGGTAGGGAAGGGTTCTTCCGAGCACTTGGTCCATCCTGGCTCGAGGAAAGATGACATGTCATAGTTGTGGGACATCTTGACCTCCGTCATCGCCTCCCATCCACCCCCACGGGGTGAAGAGATTTGCACTCCTATTTCTTCCCTCAGCTCCCAACTTGGCCAGAAGAGTCGAGGACGCCAACATCCACAAAGACCTACAGGATTGATGAGATAAGGACATGATCCAACCGACTCACTCATCACAGCACGGTCATGAGTGTCCATGGACGCTACACTTTCCATCAAGCGATGGACCTGTGCCCAAGGGAAACGATCCCGGACAAGGTGATGGATCCTTTCCACATGAATGTAGAGACAACTGCGGTGATCTCTCAATGCACCTCGCCTGTCGGCATTCAACCCTGAAACGCCTTGACACGGGGGGCCCGCTCCGATGATGACAAGACCCACCTGGGAAAACTGGCGTGCCCACTCGCGAACCATCTCCTCGTCCACTTTGGCTACGTCGTCCACAAAGATGGTGGAAGCGAAACGA